CATGACCCGATGACTTGGACGAGTAGCCGATGATAAAGACCACCACCAGCAATGTCCGGGCCCTCCACTATCAACATAACGTCGCCAGACTCCACCTTGGTCCTGTTCAGCCTGGCAATGACGTTGCTGATGCCCTTCTCGACCAGCGTGAACTTCAACCTCCCCCCCGCGACCTTCATCGGGTTCACGTTGTGGGGTCGAGCTCCGAGGCTCCACAGATTCGTGCTCTTCGAAGGCCCGAAATCCACGAAGTAGTTTGCCTTGGCGAGGCACTCCTCGTGGTTGGCGTCGGTGACGTCGGCATCGCTTGGCCAACCTTTTGGACCCTTGATGTGCTTGCAGAACTCGTCGCTGCTGATTGGCGAGACGAAGCTCCCGCCCCCCCACTGCTGCACGTACTTGTTGGGGCGCTCTCGTTCATGATGTTGTTGCTTCTCTCGCACCCACTCGTCGTACGCCTCGTTGTGGCAATCTTTGTCGGCGACGTTCTCCCAGAAGACATGGAATTCCTCCGTCACCTGTTTCACCTCCTCATCGGTCATCGGAGAGTCTCTCAGCGCCCTCGCAGCACGCAGCCACTGGTTCTTCTCCAACAAGTAAGGGTTGAGGCCAGGTGCAAACCTGCCAGTACTATTAGTACTTGGGTTCTCGTGCGGAAGGACGTCGATGCACTCCGATACCGTTCGACAAGGTGGGAAGATTGGTCCGCCCTGGTCCCCGACAGGAACGACAGCGACGCCATCCTCGGACACCTGCGCCGCGGCGCCTGGGCCAGCTGGCAGCGCCGCCGCAGCCGATGAACCCGCCAGCTCGGGATGGACAAGGGCCGAGTCGGTGGCGGCTTGTGCCATGACGCACTCCACTGCGTCAGAGGGGTCGCACAGCAACAGTGGGCGCTCGATCTCCTCCATGCTCGAAGTAAGTGGCTTGTTGATGGGTCTCGTTGGATGCCGCCCACCGTTTGAGACATGGATCGCGACCGCTTGGCTCAGAAGGTCCCTCCTCGCCGCTTGAGTGAAATTGGTCGCTGGAGCTCGCTTAGGCACGCCATGGGTGATCTCAGAGTTCAGCCTCTCAATCACGTCAGTGCTGAAAGCGTGCGTCATGAAATCTGACCTGAGAAGGGACTCGCACTCCTTCGACCCCAACTCCTCCTTAGTAAACAGTTTGCGGATTCCGCGGCTGTACAGGTCCAGCTCGTCGTCGTCGGCAGCCAGTAGGTGCTCGATGCAAGGCGCTTTCTGCTCTGCAGTGGTAGTACTAAGCGATAGAACGTGCATGTCGTAAGGCTTGGACGAATACTTCGTTTCGTAACGCCTGAACACAACGCCAGCCAATCTCAAAGTCTGGTTGCGAGCGAAACGCATCACGACAGCACTCTGAACTGGGATGCCCATCATGTCGAGGACGCACCATGAGTCCCTCCGATCGCCTCCTTGCCGCCAAGCCTCCATGCTAGCGAACAGCCTCTCGGAGCACTGACCTATGAGGCTCGTGTTCTTGCACAACAGCTTGTCCAGCTTGCTCGCCTTGCCCTTCTCGCCCATCTCGTTTGTCACATTCGTGGGGTCGCCCAGCATCGGGTACAGCAAGTGGAAGTCGTAGATGCCAACCAGCACGGTAAGTATCGGGAGCTCCATCATGTGTTCACCGTTGTTGTAGTACTCGGCAGTCTTCTTGACGCGGGACTGCTTGAGCTTCTTTTGGTAGTCGTCGGTTGCCTCCATGTCGACTGTCGTCTGGCCATCCACGGTGTCAGGCAGGTCCCCAACCGAGACGTCGAAACACTCCAGACCAACGTTGAAGACGACACGTCGCAAACACAGCATGCGAAAATTTGGCAATAGATGAGTCCATCGGCTCTCGCCTGGGATCGGGTCGGCCTTGCCGAACATGCAATTGATGCAAGCAACCACTGTGCGATGCTTGCAATCTTCCAGGCTCGCGCAACACGGTTGGTCACCATCTCCAGACGAGCAGTAATGCACCCACTCCGCATTCGGGCCGAGGTCGCAGTTGACCATCTCGCACAGATGTTCCACGTCTCTGTAGAATTGTGAACGACGTTCGTGGTTATGTCCCCGCCTGTGGTAATTAGCTTCGAGGTCGAACACTATGCGAGCGAATGTGCGCAATGCTGTGTCAGTTCGGGGCTCTGCTGAAACTACTCGTTGAACTTTGGCCCGAATGTGAACCTCCAGCATCGATATCATGCGTGATCTGATGTCGGGGAGACGATACAAATTGGCGATGCTGTATGACCGCATCGTGTGAAGTCTAAGCTGCTTCAATGAAAGTTTTCCTCTGTGGTGAAGATGAACTCCGCAACAATCTGCCCAATAAAGAATTTTGTTGCCCACCTCTGGCGCTGCAGCCTGCATCTGAAGCAACGTGTATCCCCAGTGGCGTAGCAGCACCAGGTTCCCAGAGGCTTTGTCGCACATCGGCATTATTGTAATATGGCTGCAAGACCGTGCTGTACTCACAAGCTCCTCCAACTTGCACACGTCGAATTGGAGCGGCATCTGTCGCTGAATCCCTGGAAGCATCTCGGCTGCACTCGTACCCTGGATAGTAATCGGTCGTGCCAACCACACCTCAGTAGTTGAACTGCTCTGGGACGTCTTCTCATCAAACAGCGTGAACCTGATGTACGAACGCTGCGCCATAGTCTGAACATGAACTCCCATCTTGGTCTGCCGTCCTTTTGTTTCATGCTGTCTGTATCGAACTCTCGTCTCGTCCCACAAGTGCGTGTATGAAATGTGCGCCTTCACACCGCCCACCAAATCGACGATGGTCTCTGCATTGGCGATCATTGTGGCGAGCCCGTCTTTTTGTTTGTTCTGAATGCACGTCGCCGCTGCTGCGATCACTCGCTGGTGCTTCACGCCCAGCGCTAGACACGATGATGGCGGTAAAAAACATGCCCGATTGAGTACAATGAAATCTCCTGGCTCCAAGAGGTCAATGCGCTTCCTGCCGATGTTCTTGGACTTCGAACCCAAAATCCTCGATACTGATGGGACCAACGATGTGGCAGCATGAAGTCGAGTCTCTGCTGATGCCAGTTGCTTGGTCATATGAAGGATCACTCTCTGGTCGTATTTTGCCTTCTTTGCCGCTCGAGCGTGTGCGATGTGTTGCCAACTTCGGTTCGTGAACTTGCGCTGCTCAATCTGCATTGGCACGAGGGCGGCAGGAGGGATGATGATCTGCAGGCTGTCCTCTGCCTCTGCTATCATACGGATGTCCAGCCTCTGTGGAATGTCGATCTGCGCTGCGTCATCTGATGATGGAAGGTCTTGTGGAATGGCCAGCGCAGGTGGAAGCTCGATCTGCGCTGCAACGGCAATGTCTGGACAGGCTGCGCTGCATCGTCGATCGGGCGGCGATTCAACGTGGCTCATGATGATGAGCGAGCTGCATATATGGAGGTGTGCCAAGAGGCACACGGAACATGAAAAACTATATGGAATCATCTTTGGAACTCCTGGCGGCCAAAATGGCTATGGACAAGGGCTTCACACCCTGGCGGTGTCCGTCCCGCAGGCAACGTGTGTTTTCCAAAGGTGTGCTATTGCAGAGTCCCCTTCTGAAGCCGACTGCCCCCCCAATGGATTTCCGAAGAAAGGCCCATGGGCCCCTTTGATTTGGAGAACGCCCCGAATGCATTTATCATGGGCCCCATGGTGGAAATAACAGTGGGGAGTGCAGGGGGGGGGGGGGGACTGGAACAATATTTACTTTCGTTAACGTACTGCACGACTTTCCCTACAGGTGACTCTCAATTCGGCATGGCCACAACGATGTCTCATGTACAACTTTGATGTTGGATGTGTGCCCCCTGCTTGCTGTAGTAGTACAATGCTCCCCCAAGACTTATGAGCTCTGTCCTACACGCGTTTATATCATGTAATCCTCATCCTCCTCTCTGTCTGCTCCTGCAACCACTCTATCCCGACGGGCGCCCTACAACGCTCATGTTGTTTAACAATGCTTATCGCGCGGTGGGCTTCGTAGGCTCAAGACTTATCAAGACGGCCTCGAGACGGCTCAAGACAGCCCAAGGCGGCCCCAACATTTCCCGAAGAGGGCCCCAATCGGACCCCAAGGCGGCCCAAGATGGCTCGAACACTTTGCAAGCGACAAGCAACGCCGACAACAGTTCGAAGTTGACGGCCCGAGGGCGCGCATCAATCAGAAGTTGGTGGCCCTAGCGATTTCCCCTCTTGACGCACCCACCGTGGTGCGTTCTCCAGAGTGAAGGGGGGGTCAGCCCCCCAGACGAACCCAACCAATACCGCTGTACTCCGCGGACCTCTCACGGGGCGCGCTCCGGCCAGAACCTCGTGGCGAATCTCCAGAGGTGGCGGTGAGGGCCTCCCACGACGCTGAAGAGGGGGAAAACGGGCAACCGGCTGGGCACACGTCGGTCGGAAGAAATACTGTCCCGAAGCAGTGCGGTGGCAGACCGTGCGGTGACCTTTGAGTCCCCCAAGACCTCACCGCACGGTCCGTCAACGCACGGTTTTGGGACCTCGGATGCCCCAGTCGCCCGAGAACGTCCTCGGAGAGGGACCCGAGTCCCAAAACCATGCGGTGACCCCGAATCCCCACCGACTCATAACAGGTGTGGTCACCACCCCGTTTGGGGGCCCCGAAAATAGGTGAAAACATGAAGTATGCGGAGCAAGTAGATTGGGCTCAGGCCCTCCCGGAGAACCACACGACACAGCAAAAGCACATCGATCCCTGAAGTAGGCAGGCGCTTGAAGCAGATGGGGATCTGGGAATCCCAACAGACCTACTTCCAAGAGGAGGAGGAGGAGAGACGAGACGAGACGAGCCCATGGAATCCACAAGAGGAGGAGGAGGAGGAGGAGGAGGAGGAGGACGAGGAGGACGAGGGGGGATGGGCTTCGGAAGCGACACGTGGGCCAACATACCTACTTCCTACTTCCAACGGCCGGCGTGTGCGTCTTCCTCCTCTGAGGATC